AATAAAGTTTGAGACTCAAGAGATAGCTCTTGATTTTAACGTATAATAGAAAAATATAAATTCGCATTTCTCTCTTTTAATATCTTTTACATAATACAATATTTTTAATGAATATTCTTGTCAATTTTAAATATAATGCGTATATTTAAAATTGATAAAAATACCCGTAAAATAAAATTATATATGTGTATAAGCATTTATATGTTATATTTATTTATATACATGTATATATATCTATTATGTATATATTCATCCTTTAAATTTAAAGAGTCGCAACTTGTTTATTTTTTAAATACTCTATTTTTAATTTTTTTAGCAAATCGGACATGGCGCCTAATGCGGAGGAAGAATTGTTGATTGTGAGACCATGGGGACCGCAATTGGAAAAGGTAGTACACAACATTAAATAAATTACATTATACAACAAACAATACTGAAATGATTATATCACATAAATAGTTTGTCAGTGTGTAACTGATTCGAAAGTTGTTTATGATATATGAATCACATTAAATAATAATTCCACGCACGCAGCAATTGATAAAATGTTTCCGATATCTTTCAACTTTGATTAAATGTACAAAGACAGATCGGCTCGGTAAGATAATTGATTCTTCTTTTCGTTGCACTATGAGAATTCCATTATCCTAAGGACAACTCCAGAAGTGTCCGATCGAGTTTTTCGATATCAATTTTTTTGGCGATTTTTAAGACAAAAAAATTTACAGATCGTTTATCAACATGCGGCTTTGTTTTTGACTTAAAAATTTTTGATGATCCGAAGAATTGGATGACTGCTCTGGTGAATCTGATTCGCATCCAAGATTCAGCAACCTTTTTTCTTTCTTTATAATATGTGTTTTTTACCTTGTTCTAACAATTGGAATATAGATATCATTTTGCGCCTTTTATGATGCTGATAATTATTTTAAAATAACTATTTCTATTTTTCATCATAAATATAGATGGAATATTGTTCATCAAGAGTAAAACTAAAATATATACAAATTCTTATACAAGTTTATATATACAAATCTACATAACTTTTGTTGTGTGTGTGTGTGTGTGTGTGTGTATGATTTATATATATAGTATTTTATATAAATATTTTCGTATATTTTTCCTATTCGTAGTATTTTCTTATTTAATGATATAAGGTGGCATATATCTCATCCTATTATATATACATTATAACAAGCAATTAATAAACATCAATTTATGATTCAATTTCTTTTCGAACTATTCAGTATACATATATCGTATATATATCGTATATATATCGTAATATCACAGTCGCGATTAAATTCATCTTATAAAATAGGATAATCAATATTAATATACACCGAGATAACGATAATAATCACTAACAATTTAACTAATTAGGACAGAAATTATATGCAATAGATTATTAATTGTATGTATTTATCCAAAAGATATCGCCGATTCATATCGATATAGTTTCACTTTAACTTTTTGTGAAAGTCACAAATTTTATGAAGATCAAAATTGATCAATGTCGAATGGAAATAGAAATTGCGGATGAACTCGAAATTAGATCGACTGTGACGAGAGAAATATTATGCGCAACCATATGCAATGTACCATCATAGTGGGAAAGTTTGCAGCGATTTCACTTAAATTGCGGAAGAGATTCAAAAGAATATAAAACTGATGTATGGAAAATATTGTTATAAACACTTTCGATAAAGCATCAATTTTATAAGTAGCACGCATCAATTTTGCATTTTCTTTCACTCTGAGCTAGAAAGATTGAAAAAAAAAGCGAAACGAAATAATTTATGTCCTTTTATTAAATTAATGCAATGATTTTCGTTAATTAAAAATATCGGTTGTGATAGTCATATTGATTTTATAATCTAATATAATGCTTACTATTATAGTTACAGTATACTCATAAATTTTTTTTCAAAAACATGTTTTGTTTAAAGTTCAAAATAAGCGAAAAATGAATTTTCTTGAAATTCTCTTAAAATATAACTTTCTTATATGAATTCATATTAGGTAACATTGTTATTATATAGCTACTTGCAATATTAATAGAGGAGAAAACATATCTTATAAGTTCCAAATAGCATCTTTTTCTCATGACATTTACATACATTTTAATCCAGTTTATATTCATACATCCATGGACACAAATCGATTTAAATCAGATGTCCCATTTTAGATATGAATCTGATATCTAATCAGTTAATCTATGAATATTTAACTTATGTTCAAGTTTAAATTGATAATCTTTCTATATCAACATTTCAAAAATAATATTTTTTATTATTAAAATTATTTATAATACTTAAAAAAATGTTCCATTCTTTTTTATTATTGAAAATATTTTATTAATTGTAATTATGAAAAAATATTTTTAACATTTATTTATAATTATAATTGTTTTGAAATCTTATTTTTCATTATTATGATGTCTAATGAAGAAAAGTCAAAAGGAAAATAACTTTAACGTACTTATATTACAACATACTTATATTATAAAAAGATCCAATTATAAACATTCGTCAGAGAGACTAATAATATATACCGAGTATGATAATTATTAATAATACTCACATTGTCATCCAATTTTTTTCTCTTGTAAAATATGTTTATTCTTTTTTTCATTTTATAGAGCCATAGCTTTAAAAAATGGCATAAATATGATTGCTACAATTTCAGCAATAATAATATTGCCATTCTCCTTATCTTTGATTTCTAATATGTCATCACGCACATGTGCATACGTCGACGCACAGAGCGAGCATGTACGTATTTCGACAAGTTTGGTGTACAAAATTAATATTAGAAAACCAATATAAAAGATGAACATTTATTTTTTTGAGAATAATGTGCCACAGGAAAAGTAATTAAGAAAAAGTAATTAAGCAGCTAAGTAAATGGTAACGTGCAATATTGCAAAATATGAAAATATTCTCTTTGTCACATCATGATTTATTTTCATCTATAAATAATATTTATTTATTCGCATCTATAAACTAACGCGAATGACAGCAGCGAGTAAATATGATTGATCACGTGCTATAATATGACATCCAAAAAATTAATATGATCATAAATCAAAAATGTAAGAATATTGTAGATAAATTTTTTTAATTATTTGATTAATCATCTTTTTATTATCTTTTATTTCGATTTTGTTTTATTTTTTCACTCAAATTGTTTGAGTAAAAAACACAATGAGTCTGTGTTTTTATTATTCATACTATTTATGCATTAATTGTTACTTTAATTATACGAATAAAAATGAAATAGTTTTAATTCAGATAATGTATTTAATTAAGGATATATATTTTAAGGGATGTTTAATGTAAAAACAAATTTCTTAAAACATTTATTCGATTAACGGTATCGCCATTTGATAAGTACACGTTATATTGAAATAGCAGAACCGTATGTGCTTACGGAAACGATTCTAAATCTAATTGTCTTATTTGAATAATTTATACCGCTTCCGCGTGCATCAATGGCAAATTGCTTCATAATTTATACATTCTGAATTAACCGTAAACATGAAAGTAAATCAATTTTATGTAATTATGTTCATCTGGGGTATATACTAGATAGTGCATTAGTGAGAAAACGTTACTAATTAGAATCGTTTTCAACTTAAAACATTTAAAAATGAGAAAGGTTTGTGTATATTTTATTGTCGTAATTAAAATTGCAGAATGAGTTTATTATAATTGTATAAATTTATGCGATTATAATTATTTATAGTCGCATTTTTCGGTTTTATTACTTTATAATATTGCAATATAATATTGCATCGATACAAAATTATTATTAAGTATTTTGTGTAAGTTTCGGGTAAATTCACAAACGAGATATACACTTGTAATTGATGTATTCAAGTTGCAGATGAATCAATCAGAGACAGGCAGATTTTGATTTATTATAGCATACCTTAATGCAAGCAACATAAGCTAATAATAACTAACTAGGAGCAAGAGCCATCTATTAAATCATAAATATCAAATTTCTAGCCGAGTTCTGAAAATTAATGAAGAGTTCTGAAAATTAATGAAAAGTCATGATAAATCAAATCAATAAGAGTGTTGAACGTAACTAAATTCGAAATCATAAGAATACAAAACAATTATGTTTTCACGAAAAGGCAGAAAAAGAATAACTATATTGTCTTGAAAAAATATTAAGAAACAACAGAAACAACAAAATGTGAATTTATTTTTCTTAAAAATGTATTGATATTAAATTCTCAGAGATGTTGTTTTGTTAAAAAACGTTTAGTCTATTGTACTCAGAGAACATTATGATGTTCTTAAAGATATTTAAAAGACGTTTTAAAAAATCGTAAAGACATTTTTACTAAAAAATTTTTAATAAAAATAATTTTTAATAAAAAAGACATGTCTTTAAGATGTCTTTTAGACATTTTATTTGGAATCTTTTAGGCATTCTACACTGATACAATAATTAATTATAAGAAAAGCCTTGAAAAAGTATACGAGGCAGAATTTGAAATTACCTAATAAATTGCTATATCATTGATATAATATTTACACAACTTTGATAACGATTTATCTGTTACAATTAGAGCTCGATTACAATCAGTTTTGTAATTAGAAAAATTGTATAGATATTAAATCATTGATATATCATTGATATCACTTATTTATCGGGTAATTCCAGTTTTTATCTGTATTTTTCCTCTTGTCAATACATTTCTTAATAATTTGTGTATTGTAACATATAATAGTACAAAATATTAGAATACTGGATTAACTGATTGCTAATATTTTTATAGATTATATCGAAATTGGTCATGTCATTTATCTCAATTAATAAATATGTAACCGTTTTTCGATAAATGTTGCTAATGCAAATACCTAAACAGGCTCCAAAACATGTCTCATGAAAGACAACATTTCAGGCGTCTTTTTATAAAGTTTTTAGGATATCTTTAGGTAAGGTTTTAAAAATGATGTCTTTTAAGACATCTTTTAAGACATCTTCATGATGTCTTTTAGACATAAATGTCTGGAGGAGGAAGCTGCTGAAAACAGTTACGAAGATGTCATCATTCATGTACTTAGATCGAAAAGAAAAAAAGGCACTAAGAAGTTAATCCAAGAGTCAATCATTTTAGTTTACTTTAACGGTTTATTTCATAAACATTTATCACAGATGAAAGTAGTCGTCTTTAATATAATAAAAAACGATATATACTCTCCAATATTTTCTCTATCAAATATAATAATCTAATTTAAAGAATCTTTCAAGAATTTAATCAAATAATCAAATTGTTTACACAGGAACGCTTAAGACCACCCACATACAACGCCGAAGATTACGCAATTGCATTAAGACGATGGGGAAGACGTTCATTAGGAACCATTCAAGATTCTCAAGGTACCTTGCCGTCGACGACCAGTTCGAGTTCCGGTTACGCATCCGGAAGTGGAGAGATGACCTTGAGACAGTTTACATCAGTCAGTGAGCTGTTAAATAAACTCAGAGCTGATCTCAGACTTGCTTTTCCAAGGTTAGATGCTTATGAAATCAATTATCTATCATTAACAAATAATTCGAAATTGGTTCTTTGTCATTTCATACAATTATTTAAACATCAGATATTTAATTATCATTACATATCATTAAATTAAGAAACAATTTTTTTTGACTCATTATGATAAGTACTATGTAATTTCGATCTTGAACCTTTCTTTAATATTTTTATAATTATTACTTGATTATAGGAAACAATTCTACAAGAAGTATATAAATATTATTTATTTTTGTAAAATTATTTGTTTCACTCTTATATTTTCAGAATAGTGAATTCCTAAAGATACACGCGAGAAACATACACGGAAGTACTAAGTATGAATTATTTGCGAATGTTATTAACATAACACTCAGTATTTGTGTTCTCTGAGTGGAACTAATGATGAGAGAGATGTAAGATATTAATCTTCTGAGAGACGCGAAGTATAAATTGAAATGGAATAAGTATTTAAAGAAACTCAGATTGTGTAGAAATCCCATGTTTGCATTTTCATAGGAAAAAGGCAAGTTTTTTAATTCGTTGATTAATGATCATATAAAACAAAAATACAGTAAAAAGTTTTCTTATTTGTCAATGAAATACATCTTATTTGTTATGAAATCATCACAAATTCATCAAACTAATCAACTCTTTTTATTGATTCTGATAAAATTTCTGATTGAACGAAAATGATATATCTTCAATTTTATTATTAGCGTGTCACTTAATATAAAGATGAATAAAGATAAGGATAAGATAAACAAGGATGAATAAGCTTCTAATTTTTATCGCGACGCTGTGTCAATCCGGAGTTCTTAGCTGAATAATCAAGAGCTTTAAAGATTATTTGTCGATATTATTTCAAGTATTTCTACCAAAAGTTATAATTAAACGTGGATTAGTTTCAGAAATTTATTCAGAAAATGTAAAGTTATGACATCAAGTAGCAGCATTAAAATCTTTAAAGCACTCTTCTATAAAATTATATTGTTTTACTATCATGTATCTTTTTCTGAGAACTCTTAACCTTATTTTTAAAATCTTTTTTATTTCTTCAGAAATGAACGAGTTACAATTTAATCCGCTTTAATAAAAGTACAATTTTATCAAAGTTTAAGAGCAATTAATATAAAAACTGATATTTTTTTCGTAAATCGCAAATCCTAATTAAAATTTAAAGCTTTACATAAAAACATTAATTAATTACAGCGTAACTAATTATATGAAAAAAGAAAATGAAAAAATGATTTAAATATTGGCCTAATATTGACTTAATATGAAGAAAAAGATACACAAAGATGTAATTTTATTCTGTTATTTCGCAACTGTATCTTCCTTTTAAAATATGAGTTAAATAATATTTTTTCCACTATTTATAATCGAGTTCCAATCATATATGAGACTTTATATCTTTACAATCCAACGCGTTCAACTACGTCACAATTATATTTCACTGTTGTTCTAAAATTACAATGTATTTTGCCATTCCTCAATTCTAGACAATTTATAAAGCGCAAAATGCCGTACGATTCATTCAAAAGAGAAAAAAAGGATATAACAGAATAACGAAGATCCGTTAGCTTGGCAGACGATTAAAGATGTTTCTTAATACTAGATTCGTTCACAATCTGTCGTTGACACATGTTTTTAAAGGAGAAATGTGCGCGCGCGCGCGTGTATGTGTGTGTGTGTGTGTGTGTGTGTGTATGTGTATGTGTAGGTGTTGATGATTCTATCTCCCGTTTGCACGTGCGCGTCATGTGGTAAACGAGAATGTCCTAGATAAATAATAAGTTATAATACGGTGCATCTCTCAATATATATATATATACAGATAACCCGTAAATAGCGGTTTTAGATAACCGAATATTGATATTATGATTAATATTGATATTATGGATATTATGGTGTATAGTGATGGTTCAAACCAATCTTGCCGAGCTATATATTTTCTGTTTTTAAACTAAAGAAATAGCTGAAATGTCAAATGTATTCTACTAGACTTGGACATGTTCTATTAGACTTGGATTCGTTATATATATGGCTACATACAGAATGGATCCTTACCTCCTTCACAGTGTGATGGAAATGAGATTTTCATGCCATCACTGTGTGAAAAAAAAGCTTCTTAGATTTCGATACGATTTAATATTAAGAGTTTGAGATCACTGAATCCGAATATCAGAATTCAAACTTCAAAATAAAGGATCTAAAATAGCAGACTGAAGTTGAAAAAATAAAAAAACGTTTTTAAATAAAAGAGTGAAAACATGCAGTCAAAATTCGCAAAGAAATAAATTAGTTTTTAAAAATTATTATTATCTTAACTATATTATTTTTAACTATTATTTTTAATTATTATTATTTTTTTATTCTTTAACTATTTTCTTCTTTACGCCAACTTTTCTAATATAGTGTTACATATCTTCTAAATAATGTGAATGAGAAAGTTAAACTCATTGGAGAAAAATTTTAGTAATTATAATGGATTTAATGCGCATTATTTTTATAAAATCGAAAAACAATTATAAATAATCACAAATATAGATCTATCACTGCGTGACAAATAATAACATGTATTTTCTCGTCTTCGTATATGTGTCTGTTTATCTTAAGATATTGCGAGTGGTTGTAAGGAAAACTATCTTACATTGCTGATTGCCTCGATGCAACTAATAAAGTGAAGATTTCATAAAAAAAGAGCACTGATCAATCGAGAAAACATTAATAAAACTCGATTTACATGATGTTAAGTAGAATTAAGAAGATCACGCGCGTGTAAAGTTATCGAGCTTTTTACTAGCTTTTCTATAATGTCTTTTCTATAATCTTTTCTATAATTTCTATATGTGTTTCTAACTAATTAATAATAAAATTTGTCTAAAATTTTTTAAAATTTAAGAAACATAAATAATAATAAATCTTATTTTTTTGTTGCTTTACTAGAAAAAAAGGAAGTCTTATTCCAACATTGTAAATTATAATATATTATTATTATTATTATATATTTTTTTCATAAATAATATCTCCAATTTTTATTTATCGACTTCTAGCCTCGTCATGCGTGACGAGAAGTCTATCCCACAGATGCTTGGACAAGTTTCTCTTTGTAATGTCTTTAATATATTCAGCATTGATGATGTTCGATTTTTTTCATTTAATCGCAAAGCCGCTTTCTTCGTTCTCACAGTGACAATCTCGAAAGAAACTTGCTGAGTTGCACATGCATAAACCGGATCAGTCTTCTTGTCGAACGGGAAACTGCATAATTATGTAGTTACTACCTTTTTTTTTATACTTTGATATCTTCAACGTTTATTGATCATTTTTATTCAAAGAATAAAACTGTTGTTACAACTAGTATTTATTGGCCTATTACGTTAGGTTTAAATTTGAATAAGAAATTTTTATATCACCAGTCACAAGTATCTAATATATAAAATGATGCATATTTAATAACTTGAATTGCGATTCAAATATGTAGAATGGATGAGTTACTTATACATATATTCCATTATACATACATATATTTTACTACTATATTTTCTGATCTTAAAACAGGTTTTCTACAACTTATAAATAATTATAAATCACGCGATATGTTATTATACGAAATGTGAACTTCAAAATATTTTACAAGTATTTATAATTTTATCTATCAATTAGATCATTTCAAATTTTTTTTAATAACTAAATTTAAAATGCAATTACTATGTCAAAATGCAAAATAAATTTTTTTTTTTGGAAATCATTTAAGATAGCAATTGAGATTAGGAGAGGAATGTAATCGCATGTTTTTCACTGTACAGCTTGCGTTAAGAACGCAAAAGTTCTTAAAACTCGGAAAACTATATAACATTTATATAAAATACATTGATTCGATATATTTATATAACATGTATGATCTTTTCAGCTTTGTACAAGAATTTGCCTCCCCGCCTGCGGATGGAATTATTTTGCTGTTAGAAACATTACGTGGTGTCCAACTTATCCAAAATTCACCGCCGAATTCAGGGCAAGCTGGACCCAGGATTGGTATCAGAAGGGCTGCTCTGGATGAATTGGGATGTGTGGAGTGTTTGGCTGCGTGCGGCGAACGATGCGCCGATGCGCCGCGATTATTGGTGCAGGCGCAACCTGGCCTCCTAGCTCTTGCCGTGTGTCTAACTAGTAGTCTGAACCGGTCTCGAGTTCTGGCTCTTCAGGTAACAATCGCCGCTTTTGTTGTCGCAAAGCACCGCGATATTGTTTAATAAAAAGAATCTATTGAAAAGAAGCCGTTGCGTCGCAAATGTCAGTATGTTATCGTGAAGTAACGCGAGATTCTTCCCTCTCTTCCATATGATTAATTATTATCATTTGATCATTTCGTGAATTTTTACATATATTTACAGATTTAATATAGGGTTTTACTGTGTGTGTGTGTGTGTGTGTGTGTGTGTGTATATATATATAAAGTATTTTGAAATACTGACAAACAATGAAATGATTTAATTGAGAATGATAAACTAAGTATTTTTAAAACCGCCCAGTTCATGTGGCCCAAAATGTCGCGTTTCTTTAAAATTGCATTAGAAAATTGTATTAGAAAAATTTTATCAAACTTTTTAAACAAATTTCAAGATTATTATTTGCGATATTATTATAATAGATGATCATGCAAAATGTATCAATCACTTACGTAAAATTATGCATATATTATAAATATATGTTATAGCAAATTTTTAAAGATATCTGTTTTAAAATACTTTTGATTATGATTTAACTTTAAAACTTTATTGTTAAACATTTTACAAAAAATATAACATTGCCAGACATAAGTTACCGTCTCAAAAATATTTTATTTATCATATATTCTCTATTAATCTTTAAATGTTATTAGTGTTATTTCAAAATACCGAAATATATAATTAATAAATTTAATAAATTTAGTGCAAATAGCAAAATCTGTGTGCAATTCAATTTGATTTCTGCTATCAAAATATGTCAGCTGAATCTGTCAATAAAACACATAATAATTTGTTAATAATTTCTAATCTTTGCTCTTAACTTGCTGGCATGTCACAAATAATAACATTTGTTTACAAAGATACTTATTATAATAAAATTTGCTCGTATATAACCATTCATAGTAACAAAATAAAAATAATCAGATTTTAAATTACATTTTTTACATGAATTCTTCGATGAATTCCAAATTTATTTTTTGTTAAATATTGCAATTTTTATTACTTTTCGTGTTACATTATTTTGATAAAATGAAAGTAATTACAGATATATAGTGATAATGGCTTTGCAGCTCTTGACAAAAGTGTGTCAAACGCCAGGTGGGCATGCAGCTGTTTCGGAAGCGGTGTCAACTCTAAGACTCAAATATGGAGAAGGAGGAAGATTTCGATTCTTAGCAGGCGCTCTTTTAGCTCCTAGAGCAGCCATTGCATTAAGAGTTGCAGGAATTTCATTTTTGAACGCCTTTCTGAAATCTGCACCTCGTACACAAACTAAGTTGTATATTCAGGTAAGAGATGTGATAAACTCACCGATTCGATATATTTATTTTGATTTTTGTTTAAATAAGCCCAATTTCAAAGAACAAATCAGAGAGGATATTATTTCGTTGATTAGCTTTTAGAACTCTAATAATCTTTTACTGAATTTATATATGTATAAATTCAAAACAATTACTTTATAATCGCAAATCACACTGTTACTTTACAAACAGACGAAATGCGATATCTTAAAGCTAAAGCTAAATTTATTCCTTTTTAATAAATCGATAAATCGAAATTTATGAAAGTCGATTTTCCTTATATTATTTTGAACTGTGTTAATAGTTTGCTTTTTTTAGGCCGAAGCCTGCGAAGCTGGCTTAGAGCCGCAGGTACTTCAGGAATGGTTAAGAGAATTTGATGAATATGAAGAGGATACTTTAACTGATTTGCTACACAAGGAAATTCAGAAATGGACGCATAATTGCGTTGACGTAGATGCTTTGCAGCGCAGAGTTACGCATGCAGAGGAAACTTGCAGAATACTCAGCAAAAAAGTATCGCTTCTGCAAATGCAACTTGAAAAACAAAAAGATAGTAATTTTGAAGAACGAAATAAATCTGCACCGATGATTTTTATTGCAAAAAACCCAAAAGTACCCTCGAACGCAGATGATGAAGGTATCAGCTCCTCGGAGAGATCCAGCAGTCCTGAAAATACAAAAACAAGAATTAATCGGCAAAAGGTATCATCTGCGCAAAGCAATGATCAAGAAATAACGATAGATGATGTAATTGAGGAACTAAGGATTATAGTGAAGGATGCTGAGGAAGAATTCAGCGACAGAATTCAAGAACTGAATTGTCATACTAACGATCATGAGACTGCCTGTAACAAGCTGGAATCGAATAAAAATAAATTATACCGATCAAATTCCAAAATTTCATTAAATAACTCGGAAAGATATGTACATAACAAAATATCCAAGAAAGATCAATATACAGATTTGAAGATGTTAAAATCGAGTATGAATTCTAATGCGTTTCAGAATCATCTTCCAATAAAAGGTGAGCAAATTACTTATTTCGGTAATGATCAAGATTACAGTGCAGAATCGGATGGTATAAAGAAATTGAGTTCGGATGGACCGCGTAAGATGTCAAAGTCATCGATAGATGACAGTGTTAAAATCATCATAAAAGGACCTGACGTAGAAGAAGCGATAGTACCGGCTATTCTACATCCACAACCACCACGGAGAGCTCCGCCATGTTTATCAGCCATCATGGCTGCCAGGCATTATGATTTCATCGACACAGTGATGTATAATTCTCACGACGAAGAAGTAGAAGAAGAGGAAACCTTAGGTGATGGTAGTGATTCTTTGCTAAGCGCTTCGAAACTCAAGTATAACAACAAGCATCAAATCTATGACAGGCAGACGAGGAGTGTTAATGAGGATAACTTGCAGAAACAAGCAAAAAACGACGTATTGATAAGCTCGAATCACACTGATGTTAAATTCAGAAAAAGTCTTGATGACCTATGTCACTTCGAGAATGATGATACAAAAAAAGATAAAAAAACGTTAAGAAGTTACGAAATTCAAAAATCAAAAATGGTTATGGATGTTAGATCTATTAACAGACAAATCGACATTTATAAACAATTCGATTCTATTCCCAAAGGATTTGAGATGTCCTCTAGATCGACCGATCAACGGAAGATTCAACATAGCTCTAAATATAGAAGCGAAAAAGAAAAGAGGAAATACTTACGTCGCTCGGCTAGTCATGATTATCTTGAATCAAATGTATCCAGTCCACAATCAAGACGATCGGGAAGCAGAGTGGAATGTCGCATCAGAAAATTCGAGAGTTTAAATTCCTTCGACGAACATCAAAGTTTGCAAAATTATAAAAGATCGAATGACTTAGAGAATCTTGGTATACAAGAGCAGACATCCCTTTTAAATGATCCTTCTAGATTTAAAATGCGCAGATCGGAATCTTTTCATCACCTCTCTCATATATCGAAAAGGCATCAATGCTCATCAAAGGAGGAAAGCGACAACGATCTTTTTTACATCACCGATTTTAATCTAAAGCCTTTTATTACGAGAAAACCACAATCACTTGATGCGCAAAAGTCTCCTAGCCTGATAACAAAATCTCTGGATAGGATTGATGAGGGGCTAGATTCGATGGTTGATATTATTATTACACAAGAACAAAATCAATGGAATAAACATCACTCAAAGAAGATCGAGTCCCACGACGAGAAGCAGTTGATGAGATCAAAATCGATCAGACCTGATGATTTTTGTGATAACTCTTCAGAATTTCATCAGCAGGAAAAATTGGATAATCTTATTTCTGGAAACAAGCATCTCAGCAATGATGAATTGTATTATGTTAACAATGAGCGGTTAAAAAACAATGAATTTTATGAGGAACAGACATCTCACGAATGGAATTATCATAATGCATTAAATTATACAAAAAGCAAGAGTGAAACTATTTCAGAAGATTTACCAATAATATTAACGAAAAATAATATAAGACATAACTCCTTTTGTCAGAAAGATAAAATCAATAATAAGCTTGCTGGCAGACCGAGCGAATCGAAAATTTTTGCTGGACGAACATATGATACATTTGGTCTGGGGAAGAATCGTTTCAACGCGGGCAAATATTCGGGAAATCAACAAATTAAAGAAAGTCCAATTGGTCGAAGAAACACGACGTCATCGGTAATTGGAAAACGTGATAAGGTAACAGACATCGTTTCGGGTCTTTATTGAATGAGTTGAATTTTATATTACATATTATATTTTATATTATATTTATATGGAGTTTTAAAGAATCAATTTAGAAATAATTTGTACAGTCTTTATTCTTCATAATTATATCTAAGATAATTAAGAATTCTTGTTTAATTTATTTAAAGATATTTAAATTAACAATTGTTTTGTTAAGTAAAATAATAATAAAAAGTTTTGTTTTTAAAGTTATTTTATACCAAATATTCCAAATTTCCAAATATGTTATAATATTACAGCAAAGTTTCCTCAAATTTGACATCTTTAATTTATATTTCTTCACATTTATATACTGATTGCATACACAAAGTCTTCGATTCGAAATGGTGCAATGCTTGTATGTAGATAGAGCGGATCAAACTGAGCAGAAATATCCTTTATCATTTTGCAATTTTCGCAATTAATAATAAATTATTAATTATCAAAAATTGCCAAATGAGCGCATATCTATTTGGCCCATTGACGAGCGCACAGCAAGGTCAGCGATCACCCAACACTACACGCGTTCGCAATTGCTAAGAGTGCAGCGAGATGTTTAAATACATGTTCTATAAATGATAGAACATCTGCTTATAGTACATATCTCCAAATATTTCGTCACGCTCTTAACAACTATGAACAAACGTGCAGAACGCTTGACGGTTATATCTAGCTCAGTAGATCAGGCAGGTATTTATTCTATGACGTTTAATAATTAATAACTCATTACAAACTAATAAATAACTAATTATAAAAATCGCAAAGTAATAGAAAACTTTTGTATTCAATTTGATTCTTCTATTGGAACGGCTGCTACCATTCATTTCTAATCAGATACCTGTATATATGTACAATAAACGGATTATACTTTTAAATCTAGCGGATAATCTTAGCACAGAAAGTTTACAATGACAGTAAGATAAATATTCCATCGATCGCGACCATTATTTTATTTCTTGCATCTGCCGTATTGGATTCGCTATTTTGAATTATATTTTTATCTCATTTATTGTATTCAATAATAAATTTTTAAAAATAACTAAATGGTTGGCAGAAGCGAAAAAGGAGAAAAAGAGAAAGTGAATGTGTGGAGAGATTCATGGGACAAGAGAATTGAAAGCGGTACTTTGTACTTGTCGTTAGTTGTAAGTAGTAATAGTTGTAACGCGGACAGTAAGCGTTTCTAATCAAATATTGTGTGCTTCTCATGGAGAAGAAGAAATACACTATTCATTGGCTGACGCATGACTGTATTATTTCATTCTGTTGTCCCGCTTAATCCCCTCTATCGGATAGACGAGACCATTTTATCCTGACATTAACAGTGACTTTGGAATCGAATTATCTGAAGCAGAGAAAGCAGCTTTGCAACCGTTGTAAAAATTTTTGATATGACTGGTTTTTGCGATTAGTTCCTCATGGATCTAAATGTATAAACCAATCATATTAAAGGATTTTGCAACAGTTGCAAAATTGCTTTTTCAACTGAACGCAGCTAATACTTAGGTTAAATAAGATATAGAATTATCTTAAATTCTTAAATTATGAAATTATTTTTCGCATTAAGGAATAAGACTAAATCTTGATGTTAAAAAATAATTTTATTTCTGTTATTAATTTATTGTTTTATTATTTAAATAAAAAGATACTTATGTAGCATTTTTTTAAAGAAACTGGTTTTTTATCGATATAAAAATTAATGAGATGATTCAGTTTCAACTTGCAGTTGCATATAAAAGCGTACTTGTAACTTGATCAAGCTCATGATAGGAACCACGTGTATTTCTATGGATCATTTCTGAATTATTTATTGTTGAAGATCCATGTAATGATAATTTGTCATGTGTTTGTTCCAGAAGTGGTCGTGAAGATTTATCTACAAATAAGATAAAGATATAAATTTTTTGATTATAAAAATAAAACATTTTTTTATAATAAATCGAGATAAGTTTCAAACAATAAAATAATAAATGGCATTACTACTCAGCAGAATTGGATCTTAAATATCCTATAATTTTTCATCTTTTTAAATTGAATTTATGTGTGTAAATTCGGAATAATTGCTGTTATCTATGTATCGTTATAATTAATAGATTTTCAACGCAGCTCAAAGCTATATTCCTAAATTATAATCAAAAAATGAAAATTAATTAACCTTCGTTAAAATAAAAAAAGACACAATAGCAGCCTAAATTCATTTATTCCCATCACAAATTATAATATAATCATTTTATTAATATAGAAAGTATATTTGATGAAACTCAAAAGATAAGTTAGTTTAATAAGTCATTACTTGATTTCATATTATCATACATATCATTACATAAAGATTTATTTCTTGTCACTGATTTAATGTTTATTTATTTATGTTTATATATCTTACGAATAAAAAATATTCCCTATGTTTTAAAACATTTAGAATTTAATATATCAAAATCATAATATTCATTAAATCAATATCATTCTTTGCAAATAATTATTATATTCCATTTATAATTATAAAATAACTAGATTACCTGGAATTGTTGATAACAAATAAGAGAGCTCTTCTTGAGTCGAAACATACTGAAATTCATCGCCGCAAGCACCTTTCAAAACCGCAATCACATCTGATCTTGGATTATAGAAATATAAACCTTGTTTGCGACTACTAAATTCATTAATCAATGTTTTCATACCCTAAATTAGAAAAATTAGCAATATTTAAATTCAGCATAATTTATTATTTAGAATATTCACATTGCTTACTACTAGACAAATTAAATATGCTTTAGCCGATAATATATCGTTCTTTTTTTACTTCAGAAAAAGGAAATTAAACTAATTGCCATAATCTTTTCTAACAATGAATATGCTGACCTACCCAGATACTATGATTATATGAGAACTTAAGCAGATAGAAATATAATTTATAATAATAGATCTACAAAATCTAGCATGATAACGAATATATTTAAATATATTTAATCTTTTAATAAAGATATTACCTTAGCAGCTGTAAAATCTGCTCCTAAAATATATCTACAATCAATAACAACTGGTATTTGACTAGACCCTTGCTTTATACCAGCATTACCAACTGATTGTTTTATAAAATCAACAGCTGGGAAATATAAGCTGTTTCCTGGAGTAACTAACAGATACTCTGCTCCACACTCAGTCTATAAATATAAATAAATATAGAATTAATTTTATCGAAATATAATATTTAGGCATAGTAAAAAAAATTGTAAATTTCAGAAAAAGTCATCAATTTACTTACCAGATTTTATAGGTTATAGTTAAGATTTTATAGTTAATAGGTTTTCAATAATAACTTATAATAAATATTAAAGAAAAAAGAAAGAAAATTTCCTTTGTTTAAATTTATTTACTAATATACTTACTGTATATTTTTCGATATGAACTGTAGGCCTTGCAGAAGGATATAATAAGAACATCAAGTTTATACCAACTCCTAATAAAATGCCATATTCTACACCAATAATGAGGCAAAATAGAAAAGTAACAAACATCGGTATGAGATCCTTTTTGCTCGATTTCCACATCAATTTCACAACTTCATATTCGATCATGTATATTACCGCACAAATTATTACGGCTGATAATGAGGCTAAAAAATAAAAAAATTACATCAAATTAACATTCTCTGCATGTTGTTTCGTACATTAAAATGTTTTACTACCTTTTGGAATAAAATAGAAATATGGCGTTAGCAAACTGAGAGCCAACAAAATCAGAATTCCAGTATATAATCCACCCATTGGAGTTTTTACGCCACTAGCATGATTTACCGCCGATCTACTGAATGATCCCGTAACTGGCATAGAATTCGCACAGGATCCAAGAACGTTACAGATTCCGAGTGTGAGGAGTTCTTGAGTGGCATCAACTTTACCTTCAGTCACAAAAGCCTTAGCTATGGCTACATTGCCAAGCACAGCTATTATCGGTATCAATATTATGGAAGTACCCAGTTCGGAACACATTTGTGTAAAGGTAAAAGTCTGATTATTTATTTGTGTGGAAAAAGGTGGCAAGCCAAATGATGGAAGACCAGATCTCACAGGACCTGTTAGAATAAATGGACATCCATATTCAGATGACTCGTATTTGTAAGCGATAGCGGAGCAAATAAAAACAACAATAGCATTCCGTGCAGTAGAAATCAACCATATCACTTTCGTCATTATATATTGATAATTCGTTGACCTTTTGCTAATGACATGTAATCTGATATCTTTCATTTTCTGTAAATTGTACAAAATTTATCAGAAAGATGTATCACATATGATCTAAATATTATAAGAACATAAAAAAATAATTTATCTATTACCCTAAATAACAATAGGATTGTAATACAGGAGATACTCATTCCAGCATCCCATAGATTTGTATTGCCAATATTTTGAAAAACTTTGGTTACAGTATCTATAAATCCTTGAGATGAAATTTTTAAACCTAACAATCCTTTCAATTGCGAAACAACAATTATGACAGATGTTGCTGAGGTAAAACCCACAGTAACTGGTATCGAGATAAAGTCTATCAGTACACCTACAAAATTGTTCTTTAAAATGCAAATAAATAATACTCATTAAGTTATTAAAAATAATATTTACTTAAAAACAAAATGAAAGTTTAAAGTAATATTTGATTTATTTGAAAATTCTAAAATTTGCAGTAACCTTGCGCATAGCAGCCTGTATACCTCGCGTAAATCTTACCTTATGCATTTCTGAATGAAAATATCTTTTTTCATTCGAAATTTATATTCTATCATATATCCGATGTTCACTTAAAATAAAACATTTTCTTATTCATTTGAGACAGCATACCTAAACGTAAGCATGCCATTAGTAATTGCAGACAACCAGATAAGAATGCGAGAAGTATGGCAAAATCAACATTTTTTCCTTGCACATAGTCGTGAGTCATTAATGCCATGAGCGCTGTAGGACCAATTGTAATGTCTTTACAAGAGCCAAACACCACATAAACTATTGCGCCCATAAATGCTGAATAAAGACCATACTGGAAGCAAACACAATATTAATAAAACATTCTCATTTCCTATTAAATATGAATATTGATAAAAAAACATTAATGTTTACCATTAATATTAATTAAAAGTAGAAATAGAAATAGCTTTTCAAGTAATATATGAAATAATAGCAAATAAATTTATATAACGCATACAATAATTGTAAAATTAAAAAATAAAAAATATAATAATTATTATAATTTTATATACAATTTTATTAATTAT